CCCAATTTTCGGACTGTGTCCAAAGCCAAAGACTGGTTCTAGGGCCTTAGACTCCTGTGAGGAGAGGAGAGAACTGAGAGCCCTGGGACCTGGGAGAGAAAGCAGCTGAGTCCCTTGGGCCTTTGAACAGGTACATCTGAGAATCTAGACACCTGAGTCCCAGCACTCAGAGGCCAGGTTTAGGAATATGTTTATAAGAGGGCAGGCCAGCCTTAGGCCCAAAAACCAACATGGTATCTAGAACCCAGAACCTACTCAGGAAATGCAACACACGATGCTTTAGGGAAGCTGTTCTAGAACTTCAAATTCACTGAGAAGGTAACAAAACAGCAAGGCTGGGCAAAAATCTAGAAAACAACTGGCATGTAGACACAGCACAGAGTGCATAAAGGACATTTACAATGTGAGTGGGTAATTCTGCACTTAGGGCATATTCTAGAAGTCAGGTCTGGAACTTTGAACCAGCCAAGAGCAATCAGTAACTTAAAGAGCAACTGGGTGACCTCAGAATGATATCTAAGAATATACCTAATGCAATGCATAGCAAACCTAGTCAGGAGACATAATCTAGAACACAAGACCTACCAGGGATGAGGGTATGACATCGAGTATAGCAGGGTTTGCAGTCTTGGTTTTATTATGTGTCTAGATAATGCTAGAACTCTAGATGCTCTGGAATTCAGAACATGCCCTGGGGGTGAAGGAAAACCTAGAAAGTAGCAAGGAGTTTGTCTGGAACTTAGTCGTGCGTGGGAGAAGATGTAGAAGGATGCAAGCTGAGATTTGAGAATTTACTGGCATAAGGCCTGAGCTGGCAAAGGTGAGATGGGGTGTTCTGGAAATGAGGACATTTCTAGGCTGAAGAATTCAGAAGAGGGGAGAGCCTGGAGACTGATTAGAATGCTGAAGTAGCAGAGAGAGAAAGAAGCCCACAGTCCACCAAGGGACAAGTTCTAAACTAATATCACACTAAGGAAAAGGTGGACAGAGAAGGTGGGAATGGATGGGCCTAGAACCTAGAACCTGAGGAAGGAAGGTGTAAGATAGAACACTTCAGTGGGAATCCTCTAGATTTAAGATTGTAGAATTGGATGAAACCTAAAGCAGGAAAGTGCATTCTAGAATTGATAGCACAATTCAGAGAAAGACTAGAGCACATAATTGGAAGACACACATTCTAGAATTTAGAATGTCCCTGGGAAGAGAATGGAATGTAGAACAATGCCAAGGATGTGGCTGGAACCTAGAACACACCTAAAATGAAATTTTAGCAAAGGATAAGCAAGGACTGGTTTCTAAATATTTGGAACATGTCTGAGGAGATGGTGGAATCAGAATTTGGCTTGAGGGGATTCTTTAGATATTTGAATTCATCTGGGAAAAGATATGCCTAGAATTTAGCATCTAGCCTAGAACTTAGAACATGCCTTGGGTGAAGATGGAACAGAGATGTTGACTGGGAGTGTTCCAGGATCTAGCAAGAATCTTGAATATGGACCATTGCAAGGGCATTATTTAACTGGAAATATGGAAGATAGTGAGTAGGTTCTAGATCATCTAATGAGTCTAGGTCACAGAACATATTTGGAGGAAGGTATGTATGTTTGACTCATAGCCTGAGAGAAGGCAATGGGGTGCTGGAAATATCTCAAGAAGCTGGGTCTCAGGGGAGAGAATAGAGTCCCGGGGAGCCCAGCAACTGAGATGAAATAGGGATGAAGTAGGAGTTTGTCAAGGCCACTGGGAGATGTCAAGTTGACAGGGGAATCATGAGGCCATGGGGACCTGGGTTCCTAAGAGTAAGAGATGAGGAGCTAGAAACCTGGGCAGGAGGAGGGCAGAGCTGGGGGCCTGGACTCCTGAATCCTTGTGGAAGTAAAGGACAGGGAGTTGGGAGAGAGGGCTGGGGCAGACGGCCTCAGTATAGGCTGGTGGCCAGTACAGAAGCTAGGACCTGAACACCTGGGTTCCTGAGGGGGTGCAGGACTGGGGACAGGGCATCTAGGTCTCCAGGGGGCAGGGGAGGGGGCGCAGATGCCAAAGTATTGTATTAACAATTACATTCTGAGTCTCTGAAAGGGAGAGTCATGGCGCCTGAATCCCTAAGGGGGCAGATGCTGGGGTACTAGGAGTCTGGGTATATTTGTCTGAAGAGCACAGGGGCTGTCGAAATGGGTGCCTAAAGGGGGTAAAGGCTGGGAACCTGGATCCCCAGATGCCAAGGCCCCTAAGGTGGACAGGGCAGGAACATTCAGAAGCCCTGAATCTTGAGGAAGGTGCTGGGGTCCCGGAAACCTAGGGCGCTGAAGACAGGGCCGAGAGCCTGGCCAGCAGAGCCCTGAGGCCCAGGAGACCGCGTCGGGGAGGGCCCGGGTATCCCCGGGTCAAAGGCGCGGCGGGGGGGATCCCCGCTCCGCCGGCGCCCCCTCTCTGGCGGCAGCAGCAGGAGGTGGGGGAGGCGAGGCTGCCGAGAGCGCTGACCATGGACAGCTCCAGAACGGGCCTGTGTCCAGGGCGGCTGCCGGGTGGGCCTGGACAGGGACGCGGCCAGTTGGTGGAACCGAAGGGCTGGAGATGGGCAGACGGGGTGCACGAATGGGGGACTATGCGGACGCAACGGGGGCCGGGTGGCCCTCGCCTGGGGAATGTGACACAGCCGCGGCAGGTGTTTGGAGCTCCCCGGACTTGGCCGAGGAGGACGATTTAGATCCAGAGAGGTTCCCAGGGTTGAACTGAAATCCAGGCTCCTGGGCCCTGGAGGAGGCGCAGGGCGGCAGTATGCCTGGGATTCTAGGGTTCGGTTGGGGACTCTGAGAGCCGGGAGGGGCACGCCTGACTCTCTGGGGTTGGGCTGTGAAATCTGGGCTCTGAGGTCCCCCGGGATGAAGAAGGGAATCCAAGATCTCAGGGAGGCGGGGGAAGCTCGGTGAGGGGTCCCCGGGGTGGGCGCTGCCTGGCAGGCCGGGCCGGGCTCTTACCTACCTGGTCC